TTCTTTGCGATTTGCACGCGACTTTGCGGTAAAGTTATCTTTCTATTCCTCACGAACAGTCCTTGTTATAGAAATGTAAAATACGTTATGTGCGCGTGTGTACCACTGACAATGTGTATGTGCAATTTGATCATAATAGGCAAAGCACAAAAAACAAACAAAATCACCTTTGCATCATCATCACAAAAGGAAACAAAGCGGCGGTAGCGTAGTGGTTAAGGCATTGGACTTGCTATCAAGAGGTCGTGCGTTCGAATCCTGACCAGTACACTACCGACGTGAACTAACTCCTAACACAAGAAATTTAGTTTAGCTGCAGGGGGTTACGGGATTACTAGTTATTTCGGTTGCTAGTTAGCCTTTAAAAAAAATATCAAAAAAAAGTTATTGATAGAATCCACTTTAGGTTTTTTTTATAGGTAACCTTGAGATCTTTTATTACACTTATTCAGTACATCCGAAGAAACATTACACATTTGTATTTGGCGGTAAACTTTTCAATGACTTTAAAGACCGTAATGAAATCTGATCTTTTTTTAAGTCGGTCGAAAACATAAAAGCTAAATAAGTTTTCTGCAATTGAAATGTCCTTTGCGGTTAATTTTTTACCCACATCCACTCCTAAATCTTGACAATATTTAGAACACAGTCAACATGTGACGACATGTTAAGTTTCTGTGACCAAAGTTGGTCTCAGTCCTTTCTATATGAATTATTTATTAGTGTCAGTACTCTCGTTTTTATCCGCGACATATATTTAGTAAGTAGTAGTATTGTACAATCTAATTATATCGATGATACAACGCTTAATAATTAGTTTTGCTTTAACTATTGTATACCCACATTGTAAATGAGTTTTAATAAATACAAGCGTCTCCTAGATTTGTATGTGTTCATATGTTTTTATCTGACATGGAACTGTTTTTAGATGTTTTTCATAATTATTGTTAATATTGCTAATTTTACAAAACACGAACATTATATAGCTGAAACATGTACAGAACGAGTGCCATTGGTCGGGACTAGTCATCTGGACTTGACTATAACTTGAAGCGCGAATATGCGACTGATATTTAATTAATATCTAATTAATTAAGTATTAATTCGGTTTTTATCTACTTAAAATTGTTATCAAAAATCTTTATTGTATTAAATTTAAGTTAGGTCTATGACAAGAGTCTCTAAAGTTTCTTAATTGAATTTCAGTTAACTATAGGTTCAATAGATTCGATAAACTCTGGTTAACTGTCATTGCGTTAACAACTGTACGACCAATAAACAATGGCGTATTATGTTGAATCTGTTTAAATTATGGAGTTTAACATTTCTTTTTATTTTTAGGCTATCGTACCTCAAAAGTTAAAAAAGGAACCTTTATAAGATTATTCTCTTGTGCGTCTGTCCGTCTGTCTGTCCTTGTGTCGCCAACGATTTTCTCAGGAACGGGTGTGCTTAGCAAGTTGAAATTCATACCAGATACTGAGGTCTATAGTCTCTATTAGGTGTATAAAAATCAAGGTTCTGAGGCAACACACAAAATTTGTTAGTAAAAAACTTTACCTTAATTTTCAACTTTCTTTTTCGGAATTTTCCCTTTACTAGTGCTGTAAGACCTTGATTTGAACTAAAATTAAAAATTCTAGGTCAACCGGCAGTACCCTATAGGTTTTGGGTCGAAAACCTATACGGTAGTTCCTGTTGACCTAGAATCACGAAATTAGGCATCAAGCAAGGTCTTACAGCACAAATAAAGGAAAAATTAAAAAAAAATGTAAAATATATGTAATACTAGTAATTAAAAATGATATTATTATAATTTATAACTTTATAGGTTATTATCATTATAGGTTATTTTATTATTTTTATTTATTATTTTTTAAATTGCTTTTTCTTACCTCTTGACTCAACAGCCAGGAGGTAAGAAAAAGCAGGCTCTAATAGCAAATATAAAACCTGTGGTTTCTTAGTTTTATAAACGAGGGTTTCGGCGATTCGGACCGCAATTATCTACGACTGGGGCCCCTGTTGCCCGATCATTTAATTTGAATATTTTTCTGCAGGCTACTGGGACCATCGCCTAAATGAATACAAAATCTATTGTTCAAGCCAACAGTCAAACGAAATAATGTTTAAAGTAACAATTTAGTAAAAAAAAAACCTTGATTCAAAAATAAAATTTATTTATAAAATATAATATAAAAACAGCCTTTGATAAATGTTCTTATTATTTAAAAACTACACAGTAGCTTGATTAATGTGTTTGTTTTTAATATGTAATTTTTATACAACAAGAACAATTTTTATATTTTATTTCATAAATAAATTGTATTTTTGAATCAAGTTTTTGAATGAGTTTTTTTCTTAAATTGTTACTTTAAACATTATTTCGTTTGCGCATGAGGTGCTTACCTATAATTAATTGTAACACTATGCCACTTCATACTCATTGCAATATGTCTTTAGAATGTTAACCGGTGTATACAATTGTTGGTGAGCCAATTAAATAAATAAATAAGGTTATAGATCCTTTTACAGGTCTCCAATTTATTTCTTTAAATTACTTCGAACCTTATTCCTTTGTCTTTGCTACTAAGAATACCATTGTTAAAACGTCTTCAATTCGCAAACGAAATTAACATACAGATCCTTATGTTGACAGATCAACATTTAAGTACGGTTTTGAAGTACTCATTACGTCCCTACTTTGAAAGGTAAAAACAAAAATGTCAACTGCTTTAATTAATGTAGACTATAAGCAGCTCCATATAATTATAATCCCGCGGCTTTTAAATATTTTGGGTATATGTTGGCATTCTAAAATTATTTCTTATATGGTATTACGAAACAACTAAAAGAAATGGGCCAACTTTATTATGCTAGTGTGCGTAAACATCGAGTGCTTGTAGTGAAAGCGACAATACAGACGACACACGACAGCGCAAAGGAACTTAGTGGCTAACATTTGGACTTTGGAATTAGTTAATTACGTCACAATAAAAAAAAAAAAAGTTTAAATATCGCTCACAATAAAAAAAAAAATAAAGTTTAAAAGTTTAAATAAAAAAAAGTTTATATTTCACTAACTATTATTTTACTCGCACACACGAACGTACACACACGTCTTATCATGTGTCATTAATTGTGAGAGGAACTATAGTTAAACCGCCGTAAGCTTGGCCGCCCTCCTGATGGTTTGGGGGACGCGGGGCGGGGGTGCTTTCAAGCAATTAGCTAGTGCGTCGCTGTCCGCCGGCAGTGACTGACGTGAAAGCATGGATGGAAGCCTGTTTGCAACTTGGATAATCTGCCGACTCTGCGGCATAAGAAATTTAAAAACTTGAAGTTCGGCTTACAGAGGTTCTACTGTTAAAGTTCTAATAAAGAATATTTATTATTTTACATAATTTTCAAATTGTATCTGAATATAATTTACATGCTGAAGATAAGGTGATTTTATTAAAATTATTTTACAGCATTAAATTTTACAATTAATCATAAAAACTTACAATACACTGACATTATAATACATGCAAATAAATTCGATTTTTATTACATCGTGTGTAGATTAAATCTCAAACAAATAAATCTGAAGATATCGAGATAGTACATCGTGTCATGTATAGCCGAGCGCATCACCCGCCCCGCGTCCCGCAAACCATCAGGAGGGCCAAGCTTACGGCGGTTTAACTATATAGTACCTATGACTCTAGTTAAATCTTAGAATGAGCATGAGACACCTTCTGCTTTAGTTTTTAATAATGTCGTTGTGAGTGTATGTGTCAATGAGAATTTATTATTATTTTTATATTTCAATAAATTCTTATTATTTATATTTGTGTTAAGCAATTCTTTCGTTGCCTTTCACTGAGTGAGTGAGATTACCGGAGCCCAAATCCGGATTTGGGCTCCGGTAATCTCACTCACTCCGGTATCTCCAACTCCAAGGGCGGCAACGCACTTGTAACTTTAGAGTTGCAGGTGTTGCTTAACATCAGGTGACTCGTCTGCTCGTTTGCTCCCTTATGCCACAAAAAAAATTATAATGCTTGGCAAATATACCTAGCCTAAAATATTCTTTATCTCTAATTTCTACAGTTGTTATCTGAAAGCGGTATAGCTTTTGTTCCAACTTAATGCTAATAACCTTTGTCTACATTTCGTTTCGACAATGTGCAGCCGTGCTAACAAAAGATATCAGAAAGTTAGATGAGAAGCTGGCTTGTTACACAATCGTCATGAGATTCCCTAGTTGAGCTAAGATAAGTCATGTAGTGTGTTTAATATAATACGAAGATTAAATGGTGATTTAGTTTAGTTCAAGTATCAAGTGACAACAATGCTGACACTAACGCTTGGCAAGTTTTTGGAGGCTGTTTCCAATAAAAATGAAAGGAAAATTTTCCATTTCTATTGGATATGGAAGTTAATAGTCACGACAAAATCTTGATCCATCTTTTGACAATCAATCTGACAACCAATCAATAAACTTTTTGACAAATATAACCTCAAAGTAGTATCCATAACATGTGTGTTATCACTAAATGCTGATTGGTGTATTAATGTATGTTTAGTCACACTTTACTTTTATAGTATTTTAGAACTTATCAATGATACAATTTTCATACATTTTCAATTATTATAGAAAATATTCCTCTAATGCACTGCAATTCTATTATATAGGGTTTTTTAATATGCACATTTTACCTAAAATACAAATCCTTGAAACTCGCAGAAATAGTGAGAAAACTTTATAATAAAACTGGTCACGTACTATTCGAACTATCTCTTCAACACTCGTGTTTCATAAAAGTTACATCTTTGGTGTTTGAAGCCCAAAACGTTTTAGTTAAGTCTTTTTCACTAAAAGTTACTAAACTTTAAATACAATATAATACTTCAGGATCTAATTTAAGCAAAGTTTAGGACTAAAACTTAACTGATTAATTTTAAAATTAAATTTGAATTAGTAACTGGTGTTTGAAAGTCGTTTATTTTTCCAGGTCCAAAGTCCAGTGCTTGTAGTTGAGCTTAATTTAAATAGACTGGAAGGAACACAATTGAGGGCATTGGGTCTCTTGTCAGTTTTTGGGTTCAATATGACGTATGCAGTGCGAGGGCCAGCAGATTTACCTGGACCATCTTCGTGTAGTGCTATCGAGTGTCGATTATTGGGACACTGTTACGCCAACCAAAATTATCAGTAAGTAAAAATAGTCTCATTTAATTATTTTTTCATTAAAGATATGAAATTATAACTTTTTAGAACATGTTGCTATTATTGATTTTATGACAAATATAAGTAAAGTTGGACATATAACTTATTAAAGTTAAGATTTAACAGAGAGAAGTTGTGTTGGTTCATAAAGGATACAACTCATAACAACTTCGTTATATTTTTTAAATCCCAGAGAATTCTACTGTTCGTGTTTCGAGGGCTACTCTGGTCCAGATTGCGGAGTGGGCCCGCTTTGCCCGAGGACCTCTAATATGTGTAAAAATGGTGGCACTTGCAGGTAAGTTAGGAATATATTGATTTTCCTAAAAAAAATTAAAATTTTATCAGTCAAATCAAAGTAATTATACCAAAACGGGCCTTTGATTGTTCCATTCAACTTTGTAATAATACGATAACGATATTGAGAAACATTTTTCTTTTGCTGTTTAATAAGTTATTCTTCATATTTTTGCAAAACTTTTCAGTTGATGTAACTGTTAGTGGTAATGTGTTATATTTCTAAAAATAAATAAATTTTAATGAAAGTTTAATATTTTATAATTATTTAACATTTTTTATTAGGGTGTAAATATTCATTTTCTTGCTGTAAATATGTTATGCTACCCTACCGGCAGACAGATGGGCCCTGCAGCTGTTAGCTGTATCTGCGCACCGGGGTACACTGGAGATCTATGTGAGGCACAGATTGCACAGCCCGGTAAATAGTTAATTATTGTTTTTCCATTGTTGTCATAAAACACTTGAGATTAACGAAGTTTTCACGTTGATTTCACACGTGGGAATATTAAAAAGAAACAAAAAAAATATATGACCATCACATACTACAACAATATTGTACCTAATCATGACATAAGAATTAAAAATAAAATTAATAAATTTGTTTTTTCATTGATTTAACAGGGTAATCTTAAGACAAGATAAGTATGTATGCCTAGATAGGTAGAATGCCCCATAAAACACTTCTATTATACTGTTTGACTGTAAGATCAGAAGTGTAATTACCTAAATAAACCTAAGTTATTTTTAAGTACGCTATATTTTGTTTTTTTTAACTAGGATATCGGTTGGTAAACTATTAATTCATTAAATTTAAGGCAATATTAGTATTAGTTTTCAATCAGCGTATACTTTGGCGCCTTGTTACAAAAATATAAGAATTTATAAAATTGTAGATATGTGAAATTGTCATAATTTATTCATTTACTTTGTGTAATAAGCATTTGAAAGAGATTTCGTAAATTGTTTTAGTTTCAGCCACTGGAAGGCTTCAAATGAACTTGACATGTTTACTTCAAAGTAAATTATTAATCTAAAATATAAGCAAAACCTTATACATTCTTAACTGAAATTGTTTCATTCAACAATGAATGCTGTTAGTATACAACTATATTAAATTTAGTGTTGTAATAAATATGTAATTTTACTTCTAAGGAATATAGCCTGTGTCGGGGACTTTACAAACGTACATGAAACGGACACAAAGAACACCCAAACTGGCACAACAATTTGTGGATCACACCAAGTATCGTCCTATGTGGGGATCGAACCCACAACTCTTAGCGTAGTAGTAAGCGGCGTGGCGACCGCTCAAACCACTACGCCATACGTGCACTTACAAACACACAACTTGTCGTGTAAACTATTTGGACATATTATTTGCACGGACTTGAAGTTAATAATCAGTTTTGCAAACCTTAACCTAAACGCGATATACTTAAATCAGCTGAATATTTTAATCGCATAATTACATCATCCTGAAAAAAATTGCTTATACAGAAATCCTATTCTCCAAAATTGTATTTATTTTTTAAAAGACAACTTCTGCTTTAGGTATATATCCGGACACAAATAACACACACACAATGTGGATGTGTTGTTCCATGTGGGGATCGAACCCACAACATTCAGCGCAGTACGAAGCGGCGAGGTGACCGCTACCAATAGTGATTATATTATGATATGTCATTGATTCAATTCAATGCATTGGTTGCTATTATTTCGTCTGAAGTTATGGGAAGTTTTGGTAAGATGGTGGTCTAAAGCGAAAGTCACATCAACAGCCCATAATAGTCCACTGCTGGACATAGGCCTCTCCTTAAAATGGAGGTTTTGGCCTACTATACCACGCTAGAAAGACGGGTTGGTATAGGGTTTGTTTCAAGTTATCCTTCTCTTTGCAGTGCTGTTGTCGTGCGTAGTTTTCTCCCTTGGTCGACTTTTACGACACCCACGGGATGAATAGGGGTGGTGACATTACGTATTCTTAATCCGTCACCACACGGATAATCCGGTCTTAAGCGAAAGCCAAGTACAATATAATTATAATAAACAAAATGAACAATAATAAGGCGGTAATTTTATTTTATAGCCAGGTTCTGTTCTATTGCAGAATGCGGAATAGAAGAATGTGCAGAGAATTGTAAAGATGGATTATTTTGCGACTGCAATCCTAAAGATACTGATTTCAGTAAGTGTTTTGGTATATATTCAAAAAGTACTAAATAAACTTAAACAAATAACACTAAAATATTTTTACAGCAACAGCTCGTTTCGACACAAGACTGCAAGTAGTTGATCAAAAAAATGTTAATATTTCCCAGGAAGTTATTACGCAAGCAAGTATTTATAAATATATTAGAATGTCATTTGAATTGTTTTTTTAAACAATTGACTAAGTGATTCTTTGTTTCCAGCTTACAAGCTATTTATTAGCTTTGAATATAACATTAGAAGATGAAATTGAACTTTTAAATATAAGGTAGGTTAATGTCAAATTTGGAACGAGGTGCCAACTCTGATCTGGATTTATATTATTCGTAATGCTATTAATATTAAGTTGCCTTTTAAGTCTTCTTTTTTTCTGTGTATTAAATGTGTTTCATTCTTCGTTAATATTTGATTATTCATTATATCACAATTTATCAGCCTCTATCTCTGGCCTCTATCTCTATCTATGAAAGCTTAAAAATGTTTGATGTAGCAGTAAAATTAAATCTGTATGAATATTCTTCACAGTTCGGTTCGCGATGGCGGTGTGCGAACGGTGCATGTACGCATATGGGCAACCCGTCGTGCAGCAGGTGCACTGCGTGCTGCAATGGCACGACTTGTGGCTGCACGTGCTCGCACTAATACACTGCGAATGTTGCCAGACACTTTGTACTTCGAAATGCAGCCTGCACTTAGCTTACACGTTAGTTTATCAGAACTTGCATTTTGTCATTGAAGTTCTAACAGTGCGTAAGTCATTATTTTGCGGTTTTAAACCATTCTCTAAAGAAAGATCACAGGCTTATTTTCGACAAGTCAGAAAGGACTTAGCTGTAGCTTAACACTGAGTAATTAAACCTGCATGTTCAACATAGCATAAGCCACCCAATTGCTTTTTTATTTGTTAGTCTGGTAAATGTTGTTAAAACTTTTAGTGGAGAGAGAGAGTAATAGGACATTTAATTTCAAAAAAGTTACAAAAACACACATCTTTATGTAAAGAACTGCTAACATATAAAATATTGCTCCATCTTAATTGAAACCGTTATTTTGTTCTCCTGTCGTCATTTCTGACTTACGCACTGTTAGAACTTCACTTTGTTGATTTAATATCGTTTATAGTATTTTGTAACTACCCTAACACCAGTTAAAATTGTTACAAGTCTCTTTAACAATAAATAAAGCGGTTTGATAGAAATTATAACAGCTTGTGTAACAAAAAGAAACAAGTTAAATTAGTTAAAACCAAAATAACATCAAGCAATTCTCGGTATTAAACTTCGTGTAATAAAGTTTATTTTGTGTTCGTTTTTGGCAGTCGCTAGCGATAAACCAGCGTCCAGAAGTATGGGAGGGGTTAGAGTTTATACTGACTTGCATGGCGTATGGATCTCCGAACATCATCTTCACGTGGTACAAAGATGGTATAAAGATCAACTTTAACGGCACTACGAGGTAATTATAAAAGTTTTGTAATATAACACAGCTCTGAAGCACAGTTGTTATTAACGTTATGGAAAAAATTAAGGGACGTACAATAATTATGTTATGAGTTTACGAGTTGAAAAATGTTATGAAAAACAAAAGAAGTTAGGTTGGTACCGCATAATATTCAACTTAGTCAGTCAGTATTTGAATAGTATATCTAGACCGTTCTATCTAGGGGAAAGGATGGCTGCCTGATTGCATTAAGACGCCAAAGGGGGGCAGTGTTTTTTCCCTAAGATAGTGCCTGATTAGGCATGGTGACAATTCGGGGAAGACCTAAAATAACATGGTCCGGGTCCACCCAGAGTAGGGCATCTGGGCCGGCCGACGGGGTGGTTTTTAGTGGAATCAACACATACTCTTGGCTCCTGAGTTCCCGAGGAGCAGGAGATCCGAAGGGAATTTATCCATACCGTCAATTAAAAAGGCCGTTCTATCTAATTGATTTTCAAAGTAGAGTGCAATGTTAGAGACCTATGTCCAGCAGTGGACTGCGATGATGATGATGACGACTGGAAATCACCTTTTCAGGTTGCTCAAGACACCATTTCGTGCGATTAGTCCCCCGAGTGCGCGGGATAGCGGGTGCACTGCATCGCCTGCTGCCCAATCTCGGGGGACCACGGGAAGAAGTTCGCCGTCTCTATATAGGGGTCGTGCGATCCATGGTCCTCTATGGGGCGCCCGTCTGGTCTAATGACTTGGCGAGTGCCTCCCGCTGCAAGGCTCTACTCAGAAGCCTACAGCGGTTGATGGCCATACGGGTCGTACGGGGTTATCGTACCATCTCGTTTGAGGCGGCGACGGTCCTGGCGCGATATCCACCCTTCGACATTCTGGCCGACATGGACGCGATGGTCTATGACCAAGTCCGTTCTGTCGGTCGGAATGGTGAGGAGGCCGCGCCGGATCATGAGCCCGGATTGCTACGGCGGAACGCGCATACCCAGGCTCTGCGAGCGTGGCAGGCACGGCTTGTAATCCAGGGCTGTGCCAGCCAACGCGCCGTCGGAGCCGTTCTGCCGAGCTTCGAAGCGTGGGTAGGGAGGAACGACTGTGTCACCTACCGATTGACTCAGATGCTTACCGGGCACGGTTGCTTCGGTGAGTATCTGAATCGAATTCGACGGGAGGCCACGGCACAATGCCACCATTGCGGGTCCGACCGGGACTCCGCCCAGCATACTCTGGAGGACTGCCCTGCATGGGAGTCCGAACGTCGAGTCCTGGTCGGACAGATCGGACGAAACCTGTCACCGCCAGCATTAATCGCGGCAATGCTGGCGAGTGGCGAGGGATGGGCAGCCGCGGTCTCCTTCTGCGAGGACGTTATGCTCCAAAAGGAGGCCGCAGAGCGGGATCGGGAGAGGGCCGATCCTGCTCGAAGGAGGCGGCGAAGGGGACGTGGCAGAGGTCGCTAACTCCCCAATCGCCGCCTAAGGGTCGCTGCGGCCACATCTTGGGGCGATGTGACCGCTGTAAACGACCCGAGACAGATGACACTCCGGTGCGGCCGGGGGCTGTCGTCTAAGGCGGGATGCTGTTGCGCCTTTTACTCTGTAGAACAGTGAGAGGCGCGGTAGCGTCCTGCCCCAGGGTGACTTCGATCACTCCGGGATGTGCCTCAGACATGAGGTATGGCAGGGAGGACTCCAGAAGTCGCCGATGCGTTCCTGGAGCTCCTCCCGACTGCCGAGGTAGGCCGCCGCGGGGTTTAGTGGGTAGACCGGTTCTCCGGGAGTCCCACACACGCCCTACGTTTCCCCAACGAAGGGTATGGTGTGAAAAGCATTCCCCGCGTAAAAAAAAAAAAAAAAAAAAAAAGGTTGCTCAAGACATACCCAAATGTGATGTCCTTCTCTACATTTCTTGTTTGCATAGCTTTCTTTCTACATATCTCCGTATTTAATTCGCGGTTCACTTTGATCTAAGAAACACGCACTGGATTTTCGATTTCTTTCATTCGAGTTTTTGCAGACTTATATTGGTTGAGTTGGGGGAAACCTATATTTGAACATTCATCTTAAACTTAATGCTACAGAGCAGGTCCTCTCTCGTGATTATATATGTCCCTGTAAATATGGAGTCAAATTATTTTCAACCATTTTATGCCTTTGACATAAATTTGGACACGATTGTTAGCCTATCGTTAAAACTCTAAAATAGAACCTAATCCACAGAGACATTTGGACGCGTACAGTATCAGAAGATGCACTAGGCCGTCGTATGTCAGTACTTGGAGTGACTTCTGCCCGACAAGTAGACGGTGGAGCGTGGTCATGCGCTGCTGACGATGCCGGAAGGAGACGATGTCGAGCACTTACACTCACCGTGATCACACCACCCACTATAAGACTTGTGCCCTCTACTCTAACTGTCTATAAAGTAAGCATTTTTAAATGTCACTAAGTTAGTTCTCAAGTTGAAATTGATAACCGATACCAAAGTCAAAAATAAAGTCAAACATATTTAAGATCATATTCGGACTTCTATGTTATATAGCTAGCCGCAAATTTAGGTACATTGATTAAAAACTGTTCTAACTAAAATCAAATACCCAATCCTCCCGCTCTAGTCCCGCTGAATCGAGTGGGAGGGACTCCAAGGGCAGCAACGCACCTGTGACTTTGGAGTTGCAGGTGTCCATGGGCGGCGGTAGTTGTTTACCATCAGGTGACCCGTCTGCTCGTTTGGCCACTTATACCATTAAAAAAAAGTCTACTGAAATATGTCTAGTGGTAAGGTGTTATAAATACCGTTGACACTAGCTCAGTTTTTGAACACGCTTTCTTTTATTATGCTCAGGGAGAAAACGTTAGTATGACATGTCTGGCGGGTGCCGGTCGCGCACACGGTGTGTTGGGCTTCAGTTGGTCGCGAGAGAAAAGCTTACTGCCTATGCAACCAGACAAACACGTCTGGGAAGATTTGTACCCCGCTGGCAGTGTGCTTAAGCTTTATAATATACAGGCAAGTATTCGTCGTTATTTAGTTACGTTAAAACGATATGGATTAACGCTTAAAGTGTGTCTGTATAAAATACATCAATTGGTTTTAGAAATCGAGTGAATATCGATGTCAAGTATCGTCAGCAGCCGGTACTAATTCCGCAGGTGTGTGGGTATGGGCACTGGACAGTCAAGATGAAGCGTGTCAGTGTGATACAGCAGCCGGTGTACGTTGGAGCAGAACTGCTCCTGGAGCATACGCATCAAGTTCTTGTCCTCCTGGATACAGTGGTGAAATTACAAGGTGATCGTCTGTGGATAATATGTATCCACTACTTAATATTTTGACAAACTAGAAATAAACGGTACAGGATTAGCAGGCTTGTAATTGTTTAATGCTTAATAAATGTACGTTTTTCTATGAATGTCGTAAATATTATTATTTTATGGTGAATAGTTTATGTATTAACAATAATATATACTTATAGGTACTGTGAACCAAAGACGGGACAGCATGGCGTCAAATGGATGCTCCCAAACTTTTCTGGTTGTATCTCTGATTCTTTGAAAGACATCTATGAACAGGTTATTGTTTTTTTTTCTATTGTTACACTATCTGATTGTAGATGTGCCTATTGACTTACCTCGCAATTATTTTCCAGTTCATGCTTATTTCCTATGGATACTCATGGAGGAACGTATCAGAGGTGTCCCGTCAGTACTTTTCAGTACTGCGCGGCCTTCCCACATCTGGTGGATCAGGCGTTACACCCTTACTTCATGCTAAAAATATGCTTGAATATTTAAAATCTGGTGCAGCACAACGCGCTGACAGACATCAGAGCGCCGCACAATTATTAAACATATTTGACCATCTGCTTACACAACCTGATGCTTTTTTAGATGAGCAGGTAACTAAACATTTAATGGTAATTTTTTTAAATTTAAATTTGTTTGAGAAATAATACGACTTATTTTAGAAAATTAATGAAGTCCAGACCGCAATAGTAACTACAGCAAGTATGAAGAATAAGGTAGATGCTCGCTTGCACTCATTCAATGTGAAAAGTGAGTCAGGGGTACATTTGGAGATGCGGCGTATCCCTATTGCACGAAGCAATACCGAGTGGCATGTGACGTCTGCTCATGTAGAGTTGGCGCCTGCAGCTGAAAATTTTACAATGGTTATCGTACAGTATTATAATTTAGAAGCCAGACTACCCTCTTTAAGAACATTCACGGATTACAAGTAAGATTTTGTTTTTTTATGTCTTTCAAATAAAGTAAATATAAATTGAGTATAGAGTAGTAGTAGGTTTTAATTTCGAATAAATAAAAATCAAATAAATGAAATTAACTGTGTTGAATAATTCGTTTACAGAATGTCGTTGTGTTCGGAATCTTCTATTAAGCAAATAATGTCTGTAGTAGAAAATGAAGTTTCTCAATATTTAAACTGATTATGGCTGTCTTTTTTTGGTGTAATAGTTCGGGTGTTGAAGTGCACTACGCTGTCTGCTCGCAGCAGGTGCAGATTTACATGAGCGGTGTGATGCCAGACGGCACGCTACAACACACCACCACGTTGGTTTTTGAGCACTCCAAAAACTATAGCACTGATGGTAAGTTACAAAAAGTTATAGAGCAACGAAGGCCACCGTGCTCTGTACAAAAAGCAGAGCAGGTACATAATATCGCAAAGAAACAAATGAATGAACAGCAAAATACCTTTTTTTAATTCATACAGTAAATCATACATTCCGTTCTTTATTCCCGAAAGTCTACACCTCCACTTATTCAGAGACTATGGTTTTAGTCCCATTAACGTAATTGGAGATAAGCCTAACGTCAGATTGTTTTCACTCAATAGTCAAATAAAGGAAATAATAAACATAACAGCTAGTTTATTTTACTGTCAACAGCATCGAAGTTGGTGTGTGGGTTGCGCTCAGGTGAGTCGTCAACTGCGTGGAGCGTATCCGAGTGTGATGTGCGCGTATCGGGAGTGTCACGTGCAACATGTCGGTGTCGTACTCCCGGTACTATAGCGCTTTTCACTAGGACAAGTCATACGCACGTGAGTATTCCATTTCTCTAGGCAACCTTAATGCAGTATTTCTCTAATAGAAGGCGCAGTTATAAATGATTTAAACACTATTTTCGCAAAGTTAGGAATAAAAGGGCAGTATAAACGAAAGCGGTTGTTTATTTTCAAAAAATGTTAAAAAAGTTTACGTATCTAAATCTTAGAGGTAACCATTAGTGTAAATTACTTTAAAGTGCCTTATTATGATGATAGTATTTTAAATTGTTCAGTAACTACCCATTTTAAAGAGGAATTTGGTAAAATATTCGAAAATTATATGTTGCGTTATGTAAGCCAGAGAATAAAATAGCCGATAATCAATCCCTATCCCGATAAAAAAAGCAATCCCAAGATAAAAATATTAAAATACGGAGACCAGATCAAGGAAATGAGAATATACATTTAACACCTTATTTTTACCATTATTTATTACAATAAATATAAATATGTAAATAACCAACTCTGTAATATCACTTGTGTCATCCAGACAGACAGCGAGGAGGAGCTTCGCGGTATAGTAGTCATTTGCCTGAGCGTAAGCGGTGCTATGTGTGTTTGTGCGTGTGCGCTACAGCTGCTTAGTTTTGCGCCGAGTGCTGCGCGCAGGCGGGATATCACACACTCCTTACTTACAGCGTGCACTGCCGCGGGACATGCTGCCGCCATGTTCGCGCTGTCTCACTGTCATGCTTCACAGGTATGTAAAACTAAAGGAAGTACCTATAAACATTTTTATATCTCATCGAGAACGATCCATACCGTTACAACCTCTTTCATGGTGTTCCGTTGCGTAGTTTAGGCTGAAAGCGTTTTAAAAAAGTCATATTATTTTGCATTTGCAATAATATGTAAGAGATAAAATATTAAACCTGTTTGGTTTACTGAGATATCGCACCGTTTCACCAGGGACCATCTCCAGGCGCATTGGAATGGGTCGTGGCAACGTGCTGGTGTGCAGCAAGTGCAGCTCTTTGTGCGCAACCTCTGCTATTACACGCAGAGCTGGCAGGAACCACACAAAGGAGACATTCAGTAGGATTACTAGCTGGTACAGTACATTTTAGGATGCCCAATGAAATTGTAACTGTTTTTAAGTATGTATCTAAATTGTGGTGTAATATGTGGCAGGAGTTTGTGTGTTGTGCTGCTTATCGGCGAGATTGTGGGGCGGCTCTCCTTTACAAGTGGGATCAGCGGCTAGCAGCATATTTGCAGGCGGTATACTGTTACTCATTACACTTACGTTAGCCCTGGCATTATGTGCGCGTAGAACGTTATGTCATGTTACGCATAAGATACCACCAGACAGGAGGATTCATATAAAAAAGAGGTAAGTTCTTTTCTACAACACGTTTTTTTAAAGGGTTAATGGTGATTTAAATAACATACTATTAGTAAAAATGACAACTCATGTGATGAGTGTGTGTGTGCTAAAGCTAAATGAGCTAGTGAGCTAGATAAGTGGTATATTATATCTTTAGAGCGAAATGATATTTTCAGCTCAGTGATACATTTTGCGCATCACTCATGTGAATGAGTTTAGATTGGTGGTAGGTATATTAGATAGGATTTGAAGCTGTAATGTCACAACCGTATGATAATATTAGCTTTTGCCTAAGGATATCAGCGGGTTGGCCATCATATATTGTGGAAGAACCGAAAAGAATGAATCAAGATCATATATAAAGTAGAAACTGATTGAGTATTTTTTTATAAATAACGACATTCCTAACTATTTTATGTCGATATAAATGCATATATTTTCGATGCAAAGGTCTTTGATCTAGTTTCGTCTAATCATTCAACACTTTCATTTACCCATAAGGGGATTGATTTAAAAAAAAAACAAAAATCTCTTTTTAGTGCACACTTATATAATTTAAGGAACAATTATGAAAAAAATCATACCTCTAGACTCAGTGGTTTCAACTCATCAGAATGAGCCTATTAGTTTCTAATTTTATAAATATATCTATATATAGATGGATGCATGGATTTATGCAATAAATTAACTACACTATTAATGTAGTAATGAGTTAGTTTGCATTCCAGAAGTCGGGTTGTACATCACACTCTGGCGGTGCTTCTAACGTCAACAGCTGTGCAGATGGCAGGAGTTGCGTACGCGCAACCCGGTGACAAACAAGTTGCGTATGTTCTCGCGCTTTCAGTCTCTGCACTCGCAAATGTTAGTCTCCAAACTTGATTACAATTATTTGTAAGCTAATCTATGCCATATAAAAGGGCCTACGGGACAATATACTGTAGTAACATAATAAAAGAGTGAAAAATATTTACAAGTACCACATACTGATACACAAATGTACATGCATACATTGCAATGAAATTAAAACGACATTCAAACATTTCGTGATATTAGCTGTCTTGCTAGCGTTAAACTGTAGTGAATTAATTCTTTTATCGTGGTAGGTAATCACAGAGACCTTTACATTTTTTCTTTGGCGCCGTCTCATGGGACCCTCTCATACCAGCTGTCGTAGGTGATCACCGTACAAGGATGCTTCTGAGATCACTTGTATCTCATCCGCAAAGAGCTAACGCCTGAGTGTCACCACTGCGATGGCCGTCTACAAACAAGTTAATACGCCGTCTTCTTCTGCAAACAAGTTATGCTTGCAAAGGAGATGTTGATTATTTCAAGTTTTAAAAAAAACTTTCGAATTAATTATTGCCTATGGTAATTTGTTGATTAACAAAAAAAATGAAGTTATGAAGTCATCGAATTAACAATTTTTTTTAAATTCTGTATCTGTTTCGTGCACTACTGCATATTTTTAATCTACGAGTATATCATTCAATAAATCGTCATGAGATTGAACTGCGATTATATTAAGATGATAGTGAGACCAAATTGTGCTTTTTGTTAGCAGAATACCTATTTATAGTCAATACATAATTCAGTCTTGATACAATCGTATTTCGGTCTCTGATGTTTTAAAATACGAGAATTTTCCTTCTGATTCCTCGGCTACTAGTACCCGAGACAGCATGCAGTTTTTAGTTAGTTTAGTTTATATCTTAATGATTTAATAATAGCATATAAGCTACTGTACCTATGTTGATAATTGCCTTTTCCAAATACAGGGTGTCGCAGTGTTGATTTGTTACGTCATCCACGACGAACAGTGTCTTCGGGCGATGCGAAGTGTAGTAACGCTGCACGACAACACGGAATGGCATGACTCACCAGCTGGAGATACTTCTATAAGTCGTATGTACCTTCTGTATAAATGAATAATATTTAGTCTTAGGCTCAATGCCATTCATTACGTAACAAAATAAATCAGTGTTTAATTATTTGCTAAAATCTTAAACCTTTCGACTGAAACCAAGTTATTTCAGAACAAAATGCAAAACTGTGCAACAAGTATAACATGAGCTTCTTTTTCAGTTTATATAAAACAAAGCGGCGAGGTCGAAAGTCGTGGCGGTATCGTCATACTAGAGTCAGGCTCATCACCGGTTTCATCCTCTGCGAGATACTGGCGCCCCATGCCTATAGAGAGAAGACAGTCTAATCCCGATAGTCGTGCGGATATCGTCCGCTGCGTAGAATATAAGCCCTCGGTATATGGGATGCCGCGACACAACACAAATACCCACGCTGTATGTGATCTGATCCCGACAAACGTGGGCAACGCAGGATGCTCGGGCAACGGGTACATGGCAACAGTTTGCTTAGAACCCAATAACCGCCGTAAGCCCGTACCATCAATGCCGTGTCTCGAAACATACTCTGTCAAGAGATTCGATACACCCAAGGTATGACACTTGGAAAATTTTCATGGTAAATATTGAATAGATTATTTGAAAGTTACTGCTGCAAACACATTGTAGATTAATTTAATATTTAGTAAAACTGACTCAGCATTTGAAATCATACTTTTACATTTGTCATTTCTTTTTAGGAAACATGTTCAATCTGCGTACAATCCAACCCAGATGTGTCAAAGATCACTTCACCGCCAATAAAAAGCTGCCTTAAGAAAAACTCGCGTGGATTTACATCGAGCACATCACTGCCGTCGATGGACACAATCGGGGACGACGTTGACAAGCCTCACATAGAGCACATCAATAGAGAATGGAACAAAGCTTACGATAATCAGCAAGCAGATAAAATGTTGAACAAAATATCTAATGACCTAGATTTTCTGCTTAATAGAACACAAAGTAATCAAAAACCTAACCACATTGAAGAAGCGCCCACTTAGTAATTAATGTAAATATCAATAAAACAAGGGAGCAATATGCCAAAATTAAACAATTAAGTCATACTGTATATAGTACATTAAATTTAGGATTACATTTATTAAGAGTAAATACGCACTGTTAACTCGGAGACTGCGATTAAAACTTTTAAATTTGGTGATATTATAAAATTGTTTCTGGTTCTTCTTATCTTTCAAATAAATGATTAAGGTTTTAATTCCGTGTTTTATAATTTAGTTGTTTGTTTATTGAGTTTTATGTTAAGAAACAGTATACTTAATATTTATAGCTGGTAAAATATTGTGAGTTCAGATGACTGAAATCTTAAAACTCTCAAGATCATAAATATTCTAAGTGTTTTGTGTGTTTGTCAAGTTTGTACTATGTACGGTACCAAGCAATGTTATAAAGACGAATTTATCATTTAAAGATTTTAGGCATGAAGAAAACGTTTACGTATCATCACTGTAGGAAGTAGTGTTCATTCACTGATTGTATGCCTGAGAACAACTTGTTCACGGTCACTAGCCAGGTAATATATTAATAAATTAATTAAAATAAATTATTTTAATGTACCCTGGTTGCCAATCAAACTTATGAGCACCTTACCCGTATGCCATTTTTTTTTATTAAGTTGACAGTGCGTGATAAGTTAGATTATATTTTTTCACATTTCCAGATACTAAATTAAGGATATTTGTATTAAAAACAAGAAATAAACTGTGATATATAAATAAAATCTTTTATTGAAATATAATTTTCCTGCAGTTAGTTGACTACTAGAGTAGTAATTTCGAAGAGAACCTTATGAGAAATGAACTGTAGGTATACATGTTACTGGGTAAGTCGACCTAGACCTTTTTTTACTTTACTAGGGGGTTATTGTAGCTATTTTACCAATAGATTTTTAGAATCTAACCATTTTCAAGAAATTTGACTTTAAGATTTTTTTTTAAATTTCAAAATTTAGGATACATGCGTGTATCCTTTTTTTTTACTATTTTAGTGTAGGATACATTGTTTTAAAATTTCCATTACCAAAATTATAGTTAACTTAACAAACTAGGCCGAGTAGGTGGTTAATAATAGTAAAAATAAATAAATTTTGTAAAAAACATTTTTTAAATAAATTGGTGATTAACTGGGGGGGGGGGGGGGGGAGGGTATTAAGAATTAGCGTATAACCCAGTACCCAGTAAAAATCTTTGCTTGTATTTTTGTACTCTTTCCTTTTCAACTCGTGAGTTCGTGGCTATTGCTAAAAAGCGTATGCGACTGATATATTGAGGTCTCGGGTTCGATTCCCGGGTCGGACCAAATGTTTGTATGATCTCCAAATATTTACTATAATTTCTAAAAATTTCGGAGTTTGGGTTTTCTATGTATAATATTGCCCCTTTTATATACAATAGAATTAATAGAGCTATAAACATATATCCCTTGACAAAAGTGCTACTAAAGAAACAGGTATGTGAATACTTACTAAAGCTGAATTATGAAGAAACGGAACTACTCCTATATATAGCTAAGTAAATAAAAATTGACTGACATTAATGGCTTATGTCTAACCAAATAACGAAACATATACACTTGAAAGCACACACACACACACACACCCACACACACACACACACACACACACACACACACACACACACACACATACATACACACACACTCACTTCTGTTAAATTAAAATAATGTGTATACAAATTTTATTACCCCTATGTAAATGGCTAAGATAATTAGACAATATTATATCCGAGAGGATTGGCGCTGATAGCCGAAATACAAGCTTTGCCTAGTTCGGTAACAGATGCTAACTTCATTTACTTGTACTTAAGAAATATCAGCCTATCTATAATTTGCAACCCTGTATGCTTTTGTGAAATAAACGTATTATTATTATTATTAATATGTAGGTACTTACAAAAAATCTATTAAAGTATTCTATCAATCAATCTAGCTTTCATAGTACAAGCTCTGCTAAGTTTGACTCTAGATGGCGTTGTGTGTTAGATGTCCGAAAATATTATTATTATAATAATAATACGACTGCCTAGAGCTTATTGTGGCCCAACTTCTTAATAATAATATTTTCACAGATCTCATACACCGCCGTACTGTACTATGGTAACCAGACTGCTGATAAACATACTTAAATATTTCTAAATACATACATATTATAGATAAAGTAGATCCAGAAAGTCAGTGTGGTGACGGATTAAGAATACAGAGTGTCACCACCCCTATTCATCCCATGGGTGTCGTAAGAGGCGACTAAGGAAGCAAACTACGCAGGACAACAGCACTGCATAGAGAAGGAAAACTTGAAACAAACCCTATACCAACCCGTCTGGCCAGCGTGGTATAGTAGGCCAAAACCTCCTTTCTAAGGAGAGGTCTATGTCCAGCAGAGGACTAGTAAGGGCTTTTGATGAGATCCAGACATAGAAAAAACGACCGTGCTCATTACACAATTATTTATCCTGGGTGGGAATCTAATTGTTTATGAACAACCATTGGAAGGATTATGGATGCGTACATAGCTCATTACTACTATAAGATAATATAATGGAAAATTTTATATCATATTACCAAAAAAACAAATAGATTAAAATTTATTTGAATATTTTTTATGGACGCCGTAATGTTTGTAAATTTGAAATTTGTGTTTGCCTTGCCACTGCATCTTTTTAGGGTTCTGAATTAAAATACACATAAGATGAGATATTTTTCAGAGCCTATGCTATGGTAACCAGACTGCTGATAAACACACTTATATATTTTTAAATACGTACATATTATAGATCACCGAGATACAGAACAAATGATGGTGCTCATCACACAATATTTGTCCTGCGTGGAATCGAACCCACGATCTCCGGCTTAGCAGTCAAGGTCACTAACCACTAGACCAACAGGGCCCTTTCTTAAAATTATAGGTTTCAATTGTCGGTTGTATTCTAGGTTCGTACAAAACGAACTATAGAAGCATTTAGTTAGAATTTGAAAGAGTGGAAGTGCTGGAGTGGATCCAACACTCGAAGTTGATATTTGACTGAGCCGTTTCAATGGTGACTACATTACTTCATGCAAGTACAATCTATTATATTATCTATGGAGTATGCCTTCAGATTTCGTTCTCAAATAACATGATACAAAAGAAGTAAACAGTTTTCTTCTATTAAAGCAGCTCTTCTAAATAACATAAAATTCTATAAATGTATATTCTGGTGTAAATATTTTCAAGGAAAAAACAAAAGTGCTTTACTGCTAATTTACAAACCTTCTTTAATATAAGATCGTGCCTTACAAAAACTCAACGACGCAGGCAATCAGGGTCTTATTGTCTAGTCAACGACGAAATTGTCTCGGTATTTTCATAAAAAAATGGATCAGCATTTTTTTTTGTTTCTTTTTAAGAAACAGGTACAGGGTCGCATCAAATTATTTTTTTTACAAAATGACAATCTAGCTAATCTAGCTTTTCTGTCTGGAAATATTACTACTATTTTTTAATGTACGTTTGTATCTAGTTTCGTAATGTAAGGTTTTTTGGATTTTAACGGAGAAACTTTTGACATTGTCTAAGTTAAAAAAATATTTTTATGGGAGCATACATATGTAAGGTGCCAAATGTTTTTATGGTATAGTCACCTGATGGTAAGTGACTATTGTCGGACACCTGCAACAAGAGTCCCAAGTGGGGTCTCGCACTTTGAGCCCCTCCCTGTATTTAGAAGGATTTTGGGCTTTGGTGACCTGAATCACTCGGTGAAAATCCCCAAAAGAATTGCTTAACACCGGTTTTCTGTGAGGGTATATCACTTTGGTCAATCCGGCTTATTTGTGCCAGAGCATGGCTCTTGTACGGTAATAAAAAATATCTATTAATTTGGTTTAAAGAACTTTATTTCCTTTAAAAAACTTTACAGTTCACTTAAAATAAGAAATTAAATACATTCATAATTAATTAGTATCTTTCTGCCTATTTATACAAAACGGGCAGTGATTGTTATTCCAAACGGCGTCACTATGAATACATACTTATAATAGACAAAAAAAATATTTTAATAAAGTGATTCAATAACAATGTCAGAAATCGATAAAATTAATTAATTAAATTAAATAAAAAAAAAAAAACACATTTTGTGACAGCGGGCTGATAGCAAGGTTAGTGAGGTGGATATCATAACATAGACAGAGCTTTTACGGTAACTAGACTAATGGCAAACTAAATACACACATATGCATACTATAATATTATAAATGCCAAAGTTTATCTGTCTGTCTGTCTCTCAGTTAACTCTACACGCTGAAACCGCTGAACGGATTTAGATGAAATTTTGTGTAGAGATAGTTTGAGTCCCGGGAAAAGACATAGGATATTTATTATTTTCATCCCAGAAATCCTCCTTTAGGAGGGTGAAAAGGGTGGGAGAAGTTTGTATGGGGAATCAATAACCGCTGAACCGATTTAGATGGAATTTGGTATGGGGGTAGTTTAAGTTCTGGGGAAAGACATAGGCTACGTTTAAGGCGTTGAACGATATATACACGTGGGCGGAGCCGAGGGCAAAAGTTAATTGTATATAAATTACACCCAAGCACAGAAAAAATAATTTGGTTTATTGTAAGATTAACATTATTTTTGATATTAATTCTGAAGTTACGACCCTTGGAAGTCACAGACCATTGTCCGTGTGGTGACGGATTAAGAATATGGAGTGTCACCACCTCTAATTATCCCGTGTGTGTCGTAAAAGCCGACAAAATGGAGCAAACTCAGCAAGATAACAGCACTGCAAAGAGAAGGTAAATTTGAAATGAACCCTATAGCAATCCGTCTGGAGAGCGTGGTATAGTAGGCCAAAACTCCCTTTCTAAGTAGAGGTCTATATCCAGCATTGGACTATTAAAAGCTGTTGATTGATGATACGTCCCTTAGCAGGGTAATTGCTAGAAAAATAAATATCAGTTGGTTATAAGAACGACCTTA